GAGTAAGTCATCTTGTTGATAGCTTTACGAATAATATTAAACACAAATTATCCAAAGTAAATGGTTTCTCATTATACCACGTTTCTATCAGTAAACTTGTTAAGCAGTGTCAGCATGCCGTCCTGAAGGGTTGTTATTTTCAACTAAATTCTTATATGCGAGATTGCTAAACGCGTCTGATAGAAATGCGTGAACATTTCGATGAAGAAGTCTGCGCCACGTAGTTAACGAGCTCGTGACAAATTAATTTTTTAATCAAACCGCATAGTTTATCTCAAAAATGACATATATAACTGATTGCCAGTCATCCAACATGCTGAACACATTCGAAACAGCGTCTATACTAGAAAACATGTCAAACTCTTATTCTTACACGCGTTTTGCAGCGTATTATTGATGGACATATGTTATGGGACGCAGCAGGTGTAGTTTCCATATTTTGAACAGGAATCGTTTAAATATATAAGTAACTGACGCATACTGTAACATACTGAAACCAAGATCAACCGTTTCTTTCTGTCAAACATCTTGCATTAAACCATCGCTTAGCCAATGGAATCATAAACAACAGGGACCTGTCTATACGAACTAATTTCAGTTTATCTTTTGTCAAAAGTGGAAAAGTAAAGCTGATTAGGTCCTGTTCACCGAGCAGACAAAAACCACTTTACGTTTTGGATGATTTAGTTCCGGGCGATGTTGGGAATTGAGCTGCTATCTTTCAAATGTGGATTACGGGAAAGCTAGGTGACTCATACACTATAGAAGCTCAGTCATGACTAATCCGGTTGCCCGTCCATGACCATAAAATGCCACCCAAACACCGAAGCTTGCAGTAAAAGGTCAATGATATCTTGCATGTTAGACGGCAGTTAAGTTGGTTGTGACTGCGATGCAATTATTGCATTATAGCCAAATGCATTCACAATGGAATTACTGGAGCATTATTCGTCTTTCCACAGATGCAGCAACTCCGCAAACGGTTCAAGGTTAGTTAACCCAGGTTTACAATGCACTGTGCAGCACGGTTTACAAAGCAACGTTAACTAACTACACGGTCATAGGTACTGACGAGTGTCGAGGTACCACTATCTACATTCGGTTCCCTGCCGCCACACGACCGTACGCATTCCCTCACTCTTGCAACTTACAACAATATATTGCATGTGTTCAGTCTCTGTCGACTTTGTGCGTGTTATATGACAAGAGTCGGAGATCCCCTACTTTTTTCACCAGTACGTCATCAACAAACACAGCAGATAAGTCGATGTCTTCTGTGATGGTCTCGGGGTGTGTATATGTAGTAATCCGGCGTGCAATTTACTCCTCATATCTTATACGCTTTAGCTATACCCAATGTGATTTTTCAAACCGTGGAATTATTGTATCCGTTTGAAATGTATCGCAGCATGAGCACACTCGTGTACTTTGTTGATACTTGGCTACACCATGCGTAAAACTAAACTGAGCGTAAGTTCCGTCTCTTCAACCTAATCATCCAAAGCGGCCGATTGCCTTATATCATGCTATCCCGTCATCCTAGTTAGACTGGGATTTTGATAGATCTTGATTCGTTTAGTAAAAAAATAAGTTTAATATTATTTCCTCGGATTAGCTGAGTAACTACCACTTGTCGACTCAGTGGACGTGTTTGATCATATTGGCTTCTTCCTCCACTGTGGAGTACGCAAATTTAGGTAATCTTCACACCCCCGATGCGACTGCACGACTGTCAAAATAACGATTGCAATTTCCTGGCTTTTCCTAAGAATATATGTTGGCATTAAAAGGTTACAATTAACACTTGCCTCCGTAATTTCGGTGGAATATTGTGCCACATACTAACTTTAGTCGTACGACGGCGCATTGGTAAAACCGCCTAACATTATATTTATTGTTGCAGGTGACTGCGGAGGAGAGTTGCGTGGGCCAAATGGAAATTTCTCGTTCCGAAAGAATTCAACAAATATGGTAATCTGCGTTTGGCGAATCACGGTAACTCCAGGAAGAAAAGTGCAGCTCATTTTCAACTCTCTAATTGTGAGTTGATTGCGTTGCAAATCTGGCATTTAAATTGTAAAACCTGTATTCGGTTACCGGTGGGAACCTATCAGACCTACGAGCTCATGAACTCACGTGGAACTGCACCTGCCTTTTCATCCATCAAACAGACTGCAGCCTAGCTACGACATTTATGTGTCCGCTAACACAGACCACATCTCAATCAGTTATATTTCCATGAGTCCATTTAATTGTTCAGTAATGCATGATGAGAAAAAATCAACTGTACAAGACACAGAAGATGACAAATACATATACAAATGTAAATCAGAGCATTCCAGCGTGGAAATACAAATATCAGCTGTCTAGACATTGCACACTTTTGTGCAGCGTTTTTCATTTATTTGAAAATCTAGTGTTCCCGAAAGTTGCGATATTTGGTGTATTCACCACATGGGTAGAAACCGGTACAACGAGAGTGTACATACTTTCTCTGAGCCAAAATGAAGTGTTTCGTTAACTGCGTCACGCGGTGGCCTTGGCTTTGTTTGAAGGGGCTAGGGACAGCACTGAGATTTAAGGGTGATTGCTCTCAGTTACTCCGCGGTATGTTAGAATTCGGTCTCCAGGAGGCCGTAAGCATTTTGTGGTGAACCCAGCAACTTAAAATAGGCGTAGTTTGTAAATGAGAATGGATAGTCCACTTTTGTACTTGGTGGCTAGTCTTTGGTGCTGCTTCCAGACACGAGTTTATTATTTTAGCCGTAGCCGTCGAACATTATCTGCATATTCAAAGACGTAGACGAATATACTAATTATTCATCACGGTCACCAGGCGTTGCTAAAATTTGTCGGAAGTTCTCCTCAAAGGCCTCGATCTATAGGTCGGCTGCTTTCGAACATCGGAGCTAATTGCCAAGACATTCTTGTGCGATAATGCCAAGTCACTTGCACTGCATATTGGTTTCATGACATGTTGCTCAGTAGCTATGTATTGATGAAGCGGCGGCGCATGGTCAGCAGTTGGCACTTTGCGAAGTTTGTTCGGAGCTTGTGCGTTCATTTTTAACCATATTAGCATAATTCAATTGGTCATACGTTAGGACTGAACAGTCGCTACTGCCAAGTAGAAGGTCGTATGTGACTGAGTCAATCAGCAACTGCGCATCAGTCCAAATTAAGTCCAACAGTGGTAGATTGTTTGGACCGCGGTGTTTGGTTATTAGATGCATATGAGTATACAAAATTGCCGTAGGCATGAACTCAACCAGTTTTGATTTGACTGATGATCCACAGCGAGATGCCAATACTACTGATGATACGTTGAAGTTGCAAATTTATAATATAGCAGGCGTAATTTTTTGAAGCGGCATAGTAGACAGCGTGTAACAGAAAATCATCGCTGCATGCGAAAAAGTTCAGGCGACTGTAGACTCGTATTCTTCTGAGATAAGCCATCTCGACCTACTAGCTGCAATCTGCAAAATACTGCGTCGGAAATATAAAGGAAGTGCTTGATATGGGCCTCATAATTCAGGTACGCTCGGCAGTAGACAGCAAGTCCCCACCGCGAGATTGCCGATCATTCCAAATGACTGAGTTTAATTCCTGGACCTAATTAGTCTTTTGAAAGCCACGTTACATGCCTTTCTATGACTACCCAAGAAGTTGATTCAAGTCAATGGCGCAGTTATGGAAGCTTAGAGTAGAGCTCTAGAGTGTTGGTGTGGCAGCATTGCATTTGTTAACGTATTAAGAACTGGGTTCACTTTGAGCGGCACAATTTAGGCACCGTACATGCCCGGTTGGCTGATCTGAGGTAGGAAAAGCGAATCAGCCTCCTCAGAATTTAATGTCTTTACCACTTGAATGAATGATATTAACCATACTTTGGTAGCCCATTTCTGTTGTTGTCGTGCTAAGTGTTGATCTCTATTTATAACACTTCGAACATAGCTGAAGTAACTTTTAGCATATTGGCCCGCCGCCGGAGTAGTTTTTGTAGGCAAATAGTTGGTTGACGTAGGAGACCAGACCGTTTTGCATATCACAGAACTTTGTGATGTACTTCAATATTTAACTGACGTGTTTCGAGTTTCTCATTGTCGGCACGCTTCAACTCCGGTACACCATAAACCAGTTTCACTGAATTCCTCTTACTTTGGCGCGGCGCACTCGGGTCAGAATTCAGCTTCCGCATTTCTGCCCATGTCTTGCCTGTAAAATTGCAAGGACTAACAGACAATTTCACTAGGTTGTGGCTTGTTAAGGGAACATCATCCAGGTCTCCTGTTTAGCTAACGTTTTCTGGCATTAGCCAATATTCCGCTATTTGCATAGATGATGGATTTCAAAAGGTGTGTCAGACTAGGAGGACGAATAGTCCGTGTTGTCAGCTAATCTTAACACAATGGTTTTGCTCCTCGGATTATCTGCTATTTAAAAATTGCCTAAAGGGTTCTGGGACGTTTGGACAAATCAGGTGTATCGCCTTTCGGTTGCATAGTAACGTTTTTCTGTAGATATTTGTTGTGCAGCATGCATCGTGAAAACAGGTGAAGTCGTACGCAAGACTGTTTATGTGCAACAGTGTTAGTCGTCCCATCTCTACTGGTCAATTGTTTTTGCCCATCGAAGTACGGAAGTGTCACTCCCATTGCTGTATTATTCTTATTGCTATGCAAACTTTCTCAAGATGTTGGAGATCGTGCAACTTTCCTGCAGGGATTGCTGCATTTTCCTAATAAAGCTCCTCTTCCGCTAAATTATGTGGCATATTTGCCAGTGGATTTCTATCTTTTAACAATTGTATGATTGGGGATGCGTAATACACTGCACTTTAATTCGAGTCCAGCGGTTTGCATTCTCCCTACCACGGCATGTTTCTTTTGCTCGGCTGGCGAAGCAACCATTATTTCGCATCTCGTTACAAGGGTTTGAGCAATCCTAAACATAAGACTATCTGAACGTGCATCACAGAACTACCAAAGCGTTCTCATACGCTGCTCTATCCATTTAAGTTACGGTTGTTTCATAATAGGAATTGACTGATTGCGACCACGTCATCCTAGGATTCTCTGTTTTGAACTACAGCTTGTTGTTCACGGGTTTTCTAGGCAACAAACCTCTCACGCATATTAGCCAGTGCTTCGTATGCACTCCGGTTACATCAATTGTTAACAAAGCTAATATTTACCCCAGTCAGCCGGGATTACCGCTGTGCCAGCGGGCTTGTTAGTGGAACGTCACTTGTAGCACCGGCGGATCAAATCACAAGGACGTATGCAGAAACACGGATGAATTATTGCAGTGTTAGATGTAGGGCGGCAAAGTAACCAGCAGATACGCTGGATGGTGTTGCACACTTGGATACTATATATTGTCTAGTAATCTGGAAAGAGCTCTGTCAAAACGAAACACAATCTCACTGAAGGAACTCAAAAAGCAAGGTTGCACCTGTAGGTCTAAACGACTGAATTGCCGAAGACATTGTTTGTGTTGCTTGTCGTTGAACCTGAATAAAAATCATTCATCCCGTTGAATAAAGTTCGGCAATCCGAATCGACAGAGCATAATTCCGAATACGTGAGACCAAATGAGGTGAAAAATCTTAGTTAGCATTTAGCAAAAAATGTATACGGCCGGCAAGCGAGCGCTTCACCCCTAAAGTGAACAAATAAAGTAAGTCACAATCTTAGAACACCTTTTTAGAAGTTGCATCTATGTTGCCAGTAATGGAACCTATTTAGGTTAATTGCTTTAAAAAACACTATTTCCCAGCTCTCTATCAAATAATCATAATATCATTCTCAACAGATGCCAGCCTTCAACCCTCTGTTGCGTGTGTTAGACGGAAGCACCTGTGGAGGCACTATGCTCTCAGAGCTTTCTCGTACTTCCAGCATTCCTCAAAACGGCATCGTCTCCAAAAGCAATACGATGACGGTGGTGTACACAGAGGCAACTTTTGGAACGAGGTTGACAAATATTGATGCCTCTTTTTCAGAAAGTAAGTGTATTTTAATTCACCTACATTGTGTAGACCGTTTACTATTTTGTTTACGTCATTTTCACCTGTCACATTTTTCCATTCAAAAAAGTCTATTTGTTTGAACGATAAACATTGATCGTACTGCTCACATTATCTGTGTTCGTTTTCGGCCAATGTGCCATATAAATCGGTCGATCGAATGTTTCATTTCAAACGTAATGGCTCATTCCATGACACTTTGCTTTCATAAATCTTTGAAGATTCAATGTTTAATGCTCAAATTCAGTGGTTAATTAGGTATGTAATATGAGAAGCTTAACATATCAGACTGAGAGTTTGGATAGATGTTCCAGACAGAAAACGAGAAAGAACTCTAAATGATGACCAGAATTTAACAATAAATTTGCCAGTGAAATGTTTGTCTATCTGCTCGTACGCCCTTGGCTCCTTGCGACTTAGAATTCTATTGACTAGTTTTTCCAGCAAAATATTGCGTGGACTTGCATGTTCCGTTTTCTTGACGTTCGTATACGTCATGTTTGTTATTTAATGCGCTATAATGCGGCCTTCGCACTTTCAACACTAACTGCGGCTAACATACTGGCTGAGAAACTGATATCGTAGGGGACGCCGGGTGGGCCAAACGCATAGGGAGAAAAACTTTTGTAGATCATCCAAGCAGCTGTATTTTTATCCAGTCGTTTATTTTGGCACTTAATGTTCATGTTGCGGCGGGAAGTTAACAGCTGATACCACGCGGGATTGTCGATGAATAACATCCGTTAATCAACGATTAGCTCACCAAGCAAATGGTGATGGCATCCACCAAAATCTCTTGGCACAATCAGTCCCTGTGCGTAAAGCAAATGGATCAGCTCTTGGAAGTATTTGGACAGTGGACGGTGTAACCTTACCTCTGTCATAGCTGTCATATCTGAACCACGTATTTTACACGTGAGTGTATGCACAGAGCGAAAAGTATATGAGGTAGAAATAAATGTGTCTAAGAGATAGGAAACATTCTGTAGGAGCCTAATGTTTCGACGCCATTTTGACTACTTTTAGGATTGGAGGTAACATCTGAGTTTCTCGTGAGCATACAGCCAGCGACTCTTTTCACGAGTACAATGCTGTGGATGGTTTTTGATCAGATTACAACTAAACGCCAAGTAGCGTCGTTAATTCAGCACCCAACATTTACGTATGTGGAGCTGAAGACAATTCTGGACATACAACGCGCAATCCACAAATCCACAATCCCAATCCCATAGTCTCATTAATGTTGCACTCAATTATCTGTCACTTTGGTAGGTTGTCAATTTTCAGTATCGCCAGCGCAAATTAAATAGTTTTTGAAACAAAGCTCACTCATCGGATTCAAATTGGATGGAGTCGGACACGGATTCACGCAATATTATCTCAGGAGGCCTGTTAAAGATCAGTTTTGTAATCCACCTCAGTAGGAAATCATTAATGAGGTACCTCAAAAGCATGGCGAGAGGAACGCAGTGGTCCAACCTGTCGCATAGCTTAAAGAATTCGCCATAGATAATAGGAACTCCCACAATAATATTTGCTGCCGTGGTCCAATTATCTCGTGTTAGGAGTAGTTTGATATTGTACCATCGATCAAGGTAGAATGCAGGTTGTTCCTGTGTGAGGTACCCAACTTCGTACGGATAAGATGAGTGCCCCATAGGAGGATGTGTATGCATCGAACGAAACAGCGCTAGTATGAATCTAAACGGCTGGTAGCTTTAAATGATGTCATATGAATGCAACTGCTGCTGTCAGTGCTTGATTTGTCCTATAGCATTCATAAAGTTTCGTGACAATTGAAGGGACTAGTGATCAACTAGTTCCACGAAGCTCTTGCCAAACAGCTACTGCCGAATCTGTTTTATAAATAAAACCAGAGTAAGCTTATACCTTTTAGTGGATGATTAACAAAATTCTCTTAAGCTGAGACACGCGCTGCCAGGATACAGATCATTATTATTCATTCGGATTCTTTCCGCACCAAAATGGGTCCAAGCAACTTGTCACTCCCATTAGTGTCCAAACTGGATTTGCATCCGACGTTGTAAGTCAGGCACAACAGCAAGGTGTCTGCGCAAGGAGACTCACGGCGCCCGCTGAATACTTTCTGGAATCGGATGCCTTATTCAAAAGTTCAAGCCCCTTACACTAATGCGTTGAGGTGGGCGGCTATCGCTGAAATACGTTGATTAATCACCAATAATATGAAGGCAATCCGGTTAAAGTAAGTAAGTATTTATGGCTTGAAGTTCCCCGACAAGACTTCACATGCATCTGCTCATTGGGTTCCTTTGTATGTCAGACTACAAAAATAATGAATTGTAAATAGAACACTTCTTCACACAATAAGTGACAAAACGATAGTTTGTACCTGAGGCACAATGAGACCAGAAGTTTCGGTACTTCTGCCAGATTATTTTTACGCTTACGCCCTGTTTTCCAATGTAAGCTAACCGCCAAGCATGTGGAGCCACTTCTGCAGAATCAGCTTATATCATACGTTCCACATAATGTGCAAAAGCATCGCAGTGGCCCCTAGGTAGCACAAAGTTTATTTTGCGGTAATCTTACAGGCCATGTCAAGATGAGGGCAAATTTTACCGATTTATCTCTACATTCTCTACCTGCCAGTAGCCGGAACCAACGTCGAATATGCTAAAACAATATGGGCTAACCAACTTGTCGAACAGGACACCGTTTATGG